GATGTGCACAGATAATGTTTTCATGGCACTGACTGTCTCAGGCTTGATCAAAAGCTGCTAATCTTAATACACCTCTTTTCCTTGACTTCAATGAGTTTTGGATTGGGCCCTTTGAGAGCAGATATAAGCTAAAAATATTGCAGTGCCAAGACTGTGTAAAGTCAGGAGAGAAATATGATCAAATTTATCATTATAATACTCAGCAGTTTGTAAACTCATTAACATTTGCAGGGAACATGCTGTTTTACCTGTGACCTGTAAATTCTGGAAAGCTCAGGAGAATTGGCACTCTGAGAAGTGTTGATGGCAAAGATATTTTGGGGGAAGCATGATGAAGCCAAGTGGCATGGTTTAATTGAAGTTGCTATGGGATGCCATGACAAGTCACTATGCATCTAAACAATGGCAGAGATTGCACAGAGTGGCATTCAGGTTTATGAAATTCTATAAGAAAGTGGGAGTCAGGTTAGCAAGATATTGCCCACAAATTAAAACACATTTCAAACATTAGGGTCCATTTATAGCAATAAGAGGGTGGATGATACTAATGTCCCCCATTCCAACTATGATAAATGTTGTTTCAAACCTGCATGTACTGAGGGGAAAAAGTATAAATTCTAGGTTAGATCAGTAATATCAGATGCACAGGGATCTCATGTAGGCACTAAAAAGAATATTGGAGGCCAAAAAAAAAGGATATAACAAGCACAAAGCTATTTACAGACTGAATAGAGAATTGTGAATCTTTAGCTGCAACAGAATGCTTTGGAGAGTCAGCAGCCATTGTCTCATGAGAAAGAAGAACATATACAGTGCTTGAAACATTTTTATATGAAAAGAACCTTTCCATTAAGATTTTTTTTCTCTAAATTGTATGGGTTTGCCAATATGTCAAGATTTTAAAAATAATGAAATTAAAAAATGCTCCTGTCTTTTTTTTTTTTTTTTTGCTGAGGTGTAAATCCATATCACTGTGTTTGTAGGATTTACAGCTCCTTGCCACTAACCTTAGTCCATAGCTAAAGGAAAACCAGAAAAGTCTTTCATGTCTTCACAACATACATCCTAGTTCTGGGTTGCTTTTTTTTGTCACAATGTGTTTTACAGCAGCCTCAAAGCTCAGTCAGCCATCCTGGCTCCTGGAGAGTTAAAGCACTACCAAAGCACTACTTGCAGTTGCTGTTACAAGGACAACTTCAGTGATCCCCTGTTCTTCCCTGGTGCTCACTACAGTTCCTAAAAAGGGTGGCACAGCCATTTTAGGGAACTTCTGGCTAATTGCACCCAAGTTCCTTGCCCTTCCCACCCCAAGCCCTGCAGCTGGGCAGGAATGGGCCTGGCAATCTTTTCTATGTTTTGTATCTTGTCTGTTACAAAGAATGGTCTGTGTCCTGGCCAAGACCAAACTAAAATATTATGGAGCAAAGTAAAAGTGACAGTTTCCTGCTGGTTGTGTGCAGAGCTGTGGGAGACACGTGTAAATGTGGTTTGCTGCAGTGGTTATGTCAACATGGTGTTTGAAGTGCATTTGTGTAGGCAAAATCCAGATATAAGACACTCCAAATTAATGCCAATGATAATTGTGCCATTCCAAACTACCACAGATTCACTGTTTGTGTTATACTATGGATATGCTACATTTTCTGTAGAACTACCAGTATTAATGGATCATTTCAACATCTTTTAAAAAAATTAATTAGAGCTATGATCCATCCTGTACATCATTTATTCTCTATTATTCAGAAATCAGAGTAACTACTGAAAATTCTAAAAAATTATTTTACTCTCAAGAGACAAAGTATTAATCTGTTTATATCAGGCTGGCAAATGCTATTAGGAGAAGATCAAGTTTAGAAATATCAGAATAGATTTCCTGGAATAATTTGCCAAAAGGCATGTGAGTTGATGCAGATATTCAGGAAATTAACTGATATCCTGAATAGCACAGCCATATATGCAAAAGGAATGGATTTGTGTTCATATCTTTATCTACAGAAACAATAAAATACAGACAATAAAATAGCTTTGAAAATGTAGCCATGTCTCTCTTAATTTAGCTCTTGGCTTCGCTGCTGAAACTTCCAAACGTGCAGCTGGGGGAAGGGAGAAACAGGAATTTCTGATGTAGACATTTGTCCAGTAGGAACTAGATGGAACTGCCAGCTTATTACACATGGACCATTGAACACCAAGCAAACACTACTCTCTCCCTCCTGCACATTTGCAGTGTCTGTGGATTTCCTCATATAGTTACTTATCCTATTAGCTTAAGGGAAAAGCTCTAATTGCATTCACATGGAAGCAAAATCTTCAGTATATGCTCTTTCCATTACTATTCTTCTCCTTTTTCCCAGTGTCAGTTAGGGTTTAGCAGAACTCTCAGGATTATGAGCATATTTTACACTTTCTGGTTTGCATTAATATATGATCCCAAAGCAAGTAAAAGAAAATATTAAAGAAGTATTTATTTAAAAACAAACACAACTGTCACTAAAGTACAACCTTCGATACAGAAGAACAGCAGAAGTTTGGCTTCACAGCCCCCATGCTGATTATAGGAACTGCTGGGTGAAACTACAGGACTTGGATATTACAGGGGCTGTCTGTAGAGATCACAGATCTAATAGAACTAATCTCTTTTTTAAAAGCTATGAACCCACCCAGCCATGTGCTAAGAGGAGGTCAGAGATGGAGCTTGGCCAGTGTGAGCATATTGCTGTGATCACTTTTCTGCCTGGCCACTTTTCCCTTTTCTCCTCCCCCAGCGAGGGAGCTTGGATACCACTGAGAATGCTTTAACACAAGGTATGTTGCAACAGGGAGAGAAAAGGGAGAGCAGAGGCACTCCACCTTCCAGATAGCCAGGTACTCTGTCAGTCTGTCACAGAAGCAGTTCCCCCAAGTAACAATTCAGTCAGTCAATAAAGTCTCTATTTAAAAGACCTCTGGTTTTCTTCCATAAGACCGAGCGTACTCATAAAATACACATTTGCCAATAACTCTCGTCCCTGTTTGTAGCAAGTCTGACACTATTAAGACACTGGGAAACTTGTTTCTTTTCAGATTATTTAGTGCTCAAAGGCTTGGAAATCTAGTGACAGATAGTTTAGGCTGCAAACTTACAAACTGGCCACAGTTACACTCACTGTGACTGTATTTAAACGGGGAACCACATGTGACAAACATCACATTCTATTTCTTCACATCCAGTCCCTTAAGGTTGCGGGGGTTTTTCCTGCAGCAATAAGTTTTTGTCAATGCCAATGTCCCCTTCAATAGAAGGAGTTTTTCATACACTCAGATTTTATATTTGATTTTTGAGTCACCAGTGCTAACTGAGCTAATTTCTTTAGTGAATTGCATAAAAATTAATAAATTACCCTGAGTAATCATTTTACTTTTTTAAATATTTTAATACTCTTATTTGAGGCTTTAGAGGTATTAGAAAACTTTGAGTTCTTCCCTTAAAATGAACTCCTGATTAGTACCAATTATTAATTCTTTCAGAGTGTTTATTTTAATAACTGTGTTAACCTGGAGCTGCAAGAAAACTAGAAAGTGTTCTCTAGTCAGCAACTGTAATCATGGCAAACTGCCAGGATGTTTGTGACCTCTAGAAATCCTTAAGGTTTTCATCAGCATTTCCTTATCCCCAATACTCTGTTGTTTCTGTTTTAAATTACATCTCAGCATCTCCAGAGTAGGTAATAATGTTAATGTGATACAACAGATTGTTACAAGCTTCTTTGGATTATGAGATGGGAATATCTTGATTATGAAAACAATGATGGGGTTTATTGTATTATATTTCTGAAATTATTATTATAGTATTATGCTGGTACAAATTATACTGTTGCATCTCAAGCATACTTATTTAAAACACAGAGGATGGAATTCAAAGACTGTCAAAGACAGTGAAAGACAATATCTGACTTTCCCTGGGTTTATATCAGGATCAGAATGCTATTGTAACCTTCACATTGTGTGGCACTAAATCCTAAGATCAGAAGACACAAATTTCTTGAATTTTTTGTGCCTGTAGAGTTAATAGGTACTATAATTACAAAGAATAGTAAATAATGGGTGCAAAGCTCATGAAAAGAGCTTGCTGCCACTGCTGAAATACATTTATTTGCTACAGAATGTGCAATGGGTTAGTACAGGGAATCTTGTAACTGTGGCTACAGATAATAATAGAAAATGTATCTCTCAGAAGGATCTTTTTGTTTCTATATTCACATAAAGGTTCTTTCCTTGCTAATACTTAAAGGCAAGGTGATAGCAAAATGAGGATTGCTTACAGAGCTGGGATAAAAAAACCCCTTGTGTTACTCTGCATTTACCCTTTTGATCCAGTGTTAATGCTGCACTGAGAACATAATGTGCTACATGCTACATATTACATAATACATGTGGAGGTATATATATTAATACATTTGCTGTGTATACTGTGACAGTTTACATACACTTTGTGTGTAAGTGGCCTAAATTCAGAAATATGAAGTGGAATGTCATGTTCCATTGTAGAACACATAAAGACTAGCACTGTCCCAAAGTGATAAAATAAAGTATGTAAGAAAATGCAATTATTTGTTTAAAACCCCCACATTTGTTATTCTAAGCCAAGTAGCACAACTTCAAGCTTTTAAAAATTCATAACACTTGGTGTTGCTAGAGTTGGTGTTGAAGCTGACACAAACATATGCTGTCTTTTCCCATATCACCTTTATAGATCCTTATGCTGCAATGACATTTCAATTGTAAGTTGTTTTCTTCCATTCATTTAAAGTGTTTTCATTGATTTTTTTAATTAATGGTGACATCTAAACAAATACGATGTTTTTGTGTAAGTTACAGAGCATTACATAAATTTGCATATTGGTGATCACTTCCAGAAACTCATGTCAGGTATTAGTATTTCATTTCATCTCTTTTGGCAGTATTTTTCCAGAATAGTTGCCTTGTCACTAACTGTGGCATATCTTCATTACAACTGTCAGGCACAGAAAGGCAGAATCACAAACATGAAGGCAAGAAAAGCTTTGATGGGCAAGAAAGAGATTGAGAGAGAAGGAGTGCTGAAAAAATGGCATCATCCACTGGATACTCCTCAGGGTGTGGAGAGTGAGACTTTGCCTGGACTGCTTTTGAGTCACAGCTGGGTAAGTCATTAAGTTATTACTATTGCATATATGATGAAATTGGTTTTCAGACTCATTTTTGCTTATCCATTTTCTGATATTATTTAACTGTGGCTTAAAAAGAAAAATGTAATATGGTTATCATCCAAAGCAATACCAAACGAGTTAAGCTGATAGAGTGTCAAAATTCAGTGCAGGTACTTTTACCCATGGGGTAAAAAAATCAGTTCTGCAGATCCAGCTCTGCTGTGAAAGTTTGCTGGGCTACATAGGCTGCTCCAGGTGTTCCACACTACCTAGTTCTGAAATTTTGAATCCTTTTGGAAAAAAAAAAAAAAAAAGAATCTCCAGAACATTTTAAGTCAAACCCACTCTCTCTGTGTGCTTTCTGACATCTTCTTTGTGAAATCAGGCTCTTCATTGTCATCTCCCTTTGACAGCTCCTCTCATCCTGTGTGTTCAATACATCCACTCTGAGCAAGTTACCCTTTCATCTGGCATTTCTTTATGTTAAGGCTATGCTGATCCTCACTCTGAATTGGATCTGCCAGGCTGGCTGATATTTTGTGCTGTAGTTTGCCAAACCTCGTTTGCTCTGACTGGCAGCGATAGCAGCACATCACCTCAGCCAGCTGTGGCAGCAGCAATCTATGCTGGCCAGCTGCAGGGATCTAAACATAAAAACACAAATATGATAATGTTGCATTGCTGGACCACAGCCAGCGCTGCACTGGCTTCTGCAACACCTTTCTGCAATGTGAAGCACACAGATAATCTGATGCTCAGAGGCATTCAGCTTGCGTGCAGTCAGACCGGAAAAAGCTCAGGTTTGCTCTGTGTGGACCCAGCTCCAGCTGCAAGGCCTCACCATTTCTGATGTGGAGGGGTGTCAGGAACTGTTTCAACAAAAGAAACAGTTGTACTTGTTTTAGTCTTGTGAAGAATGAAAAAAAGCTCCATGTCTTAATCGGAGGAAAGTTGGTGAGAGTGACAGAGTTAGGAGCTGTCACTGATATCAAACCCACAAGACAGAGCAAGCAGCCTGCATAGCACTTGCAATTATCTCACACAGGTCAAACCCAGTGAAATCCATGGCTGCAAGTTCCTGTGAGAATATTTCAGGAAGAATCTTCAGCTGATGGAGTATTGATTGTGACATACTGACTGCCAGGATTCAGCCATGCATGTGATGTCAGACTATGACATGCATATGGTTCTAGTTTTAATTTTCTGGGGTGATAATTAAGCCAAAAAAATTCCTCTTCTGTTAGTTCCTTCAAAGCTGACAAGAGTTGTCAGTGCCTGTATGTGAAGAGTATTAAAGTTATAGCTCATGGTCACCAACCTTCAGGGTGCACTGACCTCAAACTCCATATAGGTTACAGGTATAGGGGGAAAGTTAATCCATTTCTACACACAGAGATTTCTCAAAAGGAAATATGCATTTAGGATTTCTCCCTTTGTATTTTGCTAGTTAGCTTCAGATTGCTTACCACCAGTGACTTTTGCATCACTGAAGCTGTGCAGCATCTTCTTTCTCAAGAGTGTTGCAAGCCATAAAAGAGGATTAATGCTGCTTTTGAACTCCATTAACTATTGTGTGGATTTTCCATTTGGAAGCTTCTAGCACGCACTTAATATCATGTAAAATAGAAATAAGAATAATTAGCAATTAATAAATCATCTGTAAAATTTTGAGCTTGTTTTTTCCTCTGACCTTCTGATATTCTGACTTCTTTCAGACTTTCCTGTACAGTTAATTTAGACACTACAACCAGGCAGGCATCATCCTGAGAAATAAGTTCTTTGATCCATGGGGAAGAGCATGTGCCATAGATTACTCTATCCTTCTTTTCTTGTTTTCCTGGCATTTCCAGCTTCTGATGACTAGATCTCACTATTTGACTCTCAGAACAGAATTTCAATACTTATTTGATTTATGGATCCAAACTTCATGCTAACAATGCCCTGTAGGATTTTATTGCACTCAGTAAATAACTCAAGGTTTATTGTTCTTAAAAGAGAACATGGGTAATGTAATTTTTATTTTGTCTAGCTATCTGTTACTCCCTCTAGTAGCTTTTAACTCCTTTGCCCTTTTTGGTGTTATTGAGATCTCAAGGATGAGATGTTTCTACAGCTGTTAGGAAAACAAATGGCTGAATGGAGACAAAAGGCTGAAGTACAAACTTTATAGTTGTTTGCTTGGTTTGTTCTGCTTGCTGGTCAGTCAGTACATGTATACCAGGATGGGTAACTCCAGAAAAGAGTATTATTCTTTGTCCAGACAAAATCAAGAAACACAAGAGGAACCTGAGGTGCTGGATACGAGTTATTGAGATGCAGAGGGGCTGGAGGGAGAGGACCAGTCCTTCCTCTTCCTGATAGACATGAGAGGTGGTAAAGAGGAAAGGGAAACTTCAGTGTTATTCCAGTGGGCAATTTCAGCAGAGTAAAGCACTAAGTTACAAAGACCAGATTTTCATGGACCACTTGTCTTCTCTCTAAAAATGTTTGGGTGATTTTGACGGTTATAAAGTCTGAAAATCTTTTCCTATGCACAGGGCAGATAGGTGATTCACACTTTGCAGCATTACTCTAGTTCTGTGTCTCTGGTTCCAGAAACATCTTCATCTATCTCTCTATATTTGCAGAAATGATGGAAAAGGTGTCACCTAGGAAATAAAGTGCAGCTTGCAAATAAATATTTCAAACCAGATTTTCGCAAATAAATGTTAATGGCTCTGAAGTGCTAGACTATGACAATACAGGATCATCATAATATAAAGTGTGTCATTTGTATGTGCCTGAAAAGAACCCTGCAGCACTGCTGTTCTTTTCTCTGCTGTAATTTGCTTACTCTGAGAGGAAAAAAGCCTACTCTATTTGCATAAAGTTATTTAGACCTCTCTATAAGAGTCATAGGATCACAGTTGGAAAAAAAAATTAGTCAGGTAATTCTTAGATGAGAGCATTAAATTATTAATATAATAAACAAATGGTAGAAAAGGCTAGCTTAATAATATAAATTGTATTTTGTATACTTATCTTCTAGAATATATCTGCTAAAATGTGGACATTTTCAAAGAAGCATAAATAATTTTACTTTTAATATTTGTAAAGGTTCAGAAATTTCTGGTATTTGTTACTGAGTTTGTACAAACATTTTTATCCAGACTTAGTGCCTGACTTCTCTATCACCCCAGTCATACCTTTGTATGGTTAAGGAACAGAATACTGGGCTCCCAAGGTAAAATTTTAGTTTACTGACTTTGATACACAAACTTCTAGACACGAGATTAATCTCAGACACATACTAGAGAATAAGGAGATGGCTGTTGTAAGTGAATTTTGCTATTATAGCTCTTAAATATATCTTTATTCTAGTTAAAAATCAGGCAAAACCCCTTTGCAAATATCTTATCCCTTCTGATTTTCTGTGGATTCTTGAAGATCTTTTAGGGGGCTAATTATTTCTGTGAGAAACTAATTGCTTCTGTGAGAAATTTGGGGCTAATTATTTCTGCAAGACCTCTTTTCTTAAGAGAAAATCTTTAAGCAAGGAGGAAAAACAAGAACCAAGAAAAATAAGTGCTAAAATTATGAGAAAGAAGTTATCACCATCTAATGTAAATTATTTTGCTTAAAAAATCCTTATAGAAGTTCATTTAACTAAGTGTTTACTGGCAATTTAATTACAGATCTATGACTAGAAACTTCAAACTGTTCTAACCAAAGTGCTGGTCAGGTTTGGTTTTGACAAAGGATAAGGAATGTTTCCTCACAGTACCAATGGTTGTTCAGAAATTAACTTGAAACTTTAACAGGAATCTGGATTACTATAGGAGGAGTGCAGTTCTCCAACCTTACAGCTTTGAGAAAACAGCAAATACTTTAAACCATTACCATATATGCAAAATATATTCTTTAAATTAGAGTTGGTCATTTGATGAGGTAGAGCCAAGCTATTAGCAAAAAAAAAAAAAACACATTTCCTTTTTGGAAGCTGTTTATAAAATACTATAAATGGGCCTCATTCTTTTTAACACAAGAATTCATCCAGTAATTTGTCTCTGAATGACATAAACATATTGTTCTAAGAGGCCAAACCCTCCTGGCCAGAGCAGCAGACCAGTTAGTCTGGGCCTGGCCAACTCCCCCACTGCAAACGTGCTGACTTGGATCCCTCCATACTTGGAAGGACCTCCACAAAATAAACCCACTGTGCTCAGTGCTCTACTCATGTAACATTCCAGAAAAATTTCAGACCATTTACTCAGGTGAAAGCTGCCACCTGTGACTGTGCTTCGTGCCAGGGTTCAGGGGTTGGAAATTTGGTGTCCACACAAACCAAGAGGCCTGTTCTGCCTCCTGGGGGTGACAACAGTTGTTCAGCCACAGCAGCTGTGCTGCCAAAGGGGACGAGCGTGGAAGGAGAGCACAAGAGGTTCCCTTCCTCCTGTGTGCCAAGGGCAGGGACATTTTCCTTGTGTGCAGACTCCCACACTTCCCTAAAATCAGAACAAAAATGGAAAATACATCTAGCTGAAATATGGAAAATATATCTTCCAGCCTTCTGGCTTCTCACAACCCTTCTCAGGAGGGTTTGATTTGGTAAATTATTTGGTAGTTTTCACTGCACTTCCCCTGACTGGTTTGTATTGCTTTTGGCAGTGAACATTTTTCCTTTTCCAACACTGAATTCCTTAAGCTGTATCATGGGGGTTTTTTGAAAAGCCATAAGATAAACTTCCTGCATATCCCTTTATCTCTCTCCTTACTCCAGATGAATAGCAAAAACACAATTCCCCTCAACAAGGTATATGTGAGGTCCTACGTGAATTGTAGTGCCCCAGGTGAAATCCTTGAGTCATTAGAGATGACAAATGCTTTACTATAACTTCTGACCAATCAGAATTTCATCTAATTGGCTTTATCTGCCCATTACTCCAAGCACTGTCAAAATCCTACTTTTGCTGCAAGGCTCACAGACTGTGCCAACCCCACCTCAGAGTCA